CACCGGCCAGGTGCGTGTGCCCTGTACAGACACCGCACGCGCGCGCTGCTGCTGCTCCTGCTGGCAGCAGTCGGTGAAGGGGAGGAGGTAGCAAACAGCACTAAGCCCTAGAAAGAAGCAGCGGGGTGTGCTCGCTGCTGCCGGTGTCGCTCGAAGCCGCTAGACCCAAACCCTAAACCCTAAACCCTAAACCCTTGTGCTGCAGAGGATGAAAAGTCCCGAATAAAGAGAAAGAACGCTACCCACCCTTCTTAAATGCTGTCAGCAAATCCAGCAGCGCCGTGTCTTCGTCTACGGCGTAAACATTCCGGCCAAAGAGGTGCAGCAAAGTGCGCACGTCCACTGCAGCGCAGCACCAAGCTGTTCGTACACCCCACGCCTTCAGCACGCATGCATGCATGCACCCAGCTGTACGTACACCCCAACGCCTTCAGCAAGCATGCATGCAGGCTGTACACCTCAACGCCTCCATGCATGCATGCGTGCATGCATGCATGGAGGCGTGCATGCATGCATGCATGCACGCATGCATGCATGCATGCAAGGCAGCTGTACATACACCCGAATGCCTTCACCTTGAACTTGCATGCATGCAAGACAGGTGTACGTACACGTCAACGCCTTGAGCTTGCATGCACCCCACACTCTTGCATGCGCGCCCTACATGCTTCGGGTGTACGTGCACCCCACATAGCCCAATCCTGCCTGCCGCTCCCTAAACCCTAAACCCTAAACTCTAAACCCTCTGCCCTAAACCCTAAACCCTGGTCTAAACCCTAAACCCTGATCACCCCTAAACCCTAAACCCTAATCGACATCCACCCAGCGTCTCAAGACTTCGCTTGTGAGGGCTACCCCCTGGGCTCAAGACCCTCGGCTGCAGCCCCTCACCCCAAACCCTAAACCCTAACCCCTAAACCCTAAACCCTCGACAAACCTTCGGCGTAAGGGTCGAAGAGGGCCAAGTCCTTCACATAAAGCAGCCCCACAATGCACTGGGGACTCGCGAGGTCTAAAACGGGAATTCTGGAGAAGCCGCAGGAAAGGATTTTTGAAATCTTTTCAAACGTCAGCTTCGTGTCGATCTCCAGCCTGCACAAACCCTAAACCCTAAACCCTAAACTCTAAACCCTAAACCCTAAAGCCTAGCCTAGCTCCACCGCAAACCGCAACCCCGACCCCTCAAAGCTGCGCCCCTGTGCGCCAGAGCTCCCCGTCGCCGCCGCGAGTGCCCCACGCCTTGCACCTAGGAACTAGGGTTTAGGGTTTAGGGTTTAGGGTTTCGGACCCGCAGACTCTGTGGAGGGGCGTCATGACTTTGTCCACGCGGACGAAGGCAAAGTCGAGGCCCCCCTTCAAAATGCGGGCCTCGTCGCTGGTCAAGACATGCACCACATTGTCGTGGTACTCCACAAGGGCCCGCAGCTGCTGCCGATCGTATATAGTCCCCAGGTCCTCCCCTGCAGCAGCAGCAGCAGCAGCAGCAGCAGCAGCAGCGGGATGCGGCCCCCGCCGAC